AGAGAAAAGGAAACACCTTTAACCTGCCCTCCTAATCACGACTTCTGTCACACTTCGGCTAGCCAAACGTTTTGGGTCTGTGTGATCATGTATGCATTTCCAAGAGAAATGTATACAATTACCATGGTCCTAGTTTGAGAGCTGCCTTAATTCTACGTATTTGCTGCATTTCAGTCCAAATGTGGGGAAAGACAACTAGACAGTCCAAGCTGTACACGACAGAATTCCCAGGTTGGTTGTGTACAACACAAAGCCCGTGGAAGAGCAGCTTAATCATACAAGGTTTTATTGCCTCACAAACCAAATCAAGAAACCCACTGGCTGAGTCCATGGCTTCCCAGTTGTGAGGGACCTCGGCTCTATCCAGCTTTGAGTGCCACTCTCCCCAGGATGTTGTACCACTGTGCCTGGCACTCTCAGCACAGCCACAGACAGTGGCCCTGCATCTGCCCTTATCCCCATGATCCATCCAGCATCTCCATCCCAGAGAGCAGAAGAAGGGGTGAAAAAGACGGAGGCAGAAGTGTTGTGCCAGTGTTCTCTTCAAGATGATCCCTGTTCTCCATACGATGTTTACGTCCCACTGACCACAACTCAGGCACATGGTCACACTTAGGGGCAGGGAAGACTAAGACTGTAGTCTTCCTCCTAGAGGGCCACACCACAGGTAAGTGTCTAGTCATTTGGGGAGAATGGCAGGTTGGGGTTGGGACAGCTAAGAGCCCCTGCTTTACCCTTGCCATCATCGTAACTTTAGAGTAGCTCTGATTTCCTAATTTTCTTATGGAAGCTTTTGGTTGATTGTTTTGTTTTCATTTTTCTTATTTACTGATGCTTTAGAATGACTTTACTTTTGTTCTGGGGGGAAAAAATAGTCCGTTCTAAATCAGGTTCACTAATACTTGGATTTACTTCCAAGGCTCTTTGTCTCTTTAGATTGTGGGAATGAAAGCTTAGGTGTGGAGTTTATAAAACGTGATGAGAAGCACTCCCGAAGATGAAAACAAGAACTTAATTCAATTCAGACCAAAGGCCTTTTATCTCCCTAGGAACGTCTTTGTGTCTTAGAGAGCAAAGGTAACTTTTCTGAGCAATGTTCGCTAACAGCTTTGAAAGTGCTCACTTTGTACAGGTGTTGTGCCAAGCATGTATCATTTACGGCCCCTTTTATTTTT